CGGATTAAATACACCTCTCACCGCAATAAGCACTATGAACGATCACTTATGCAACCCAATTTGTGTATACGAGAAATTGATGTCATCAACCTAAAATAAATAAATTTTCTCTATCAGCAATGGTAACCGTGAGGTGAAACAGATTGGATTAAAGTACTAATAACAAAGTAAACCATGCTCCACTAAAGGACTCTGTGCACATTAAAGTGGCAACTGAGCAACAAGGGTCTTCTTTCCTGGCAACGCAGGAATGCTAGTAGTACGAGTGATAATAAGTGCACGAAATCTGAGTGCCATTAATCTGCTCGAGTAGATAAGCGAGCCAAGAGCACGGAAAAACGTTTCGTTCGGAATTCACTCGTATAGATGGCATTTCGTCGCAGTTGCATTCCTAGTGCTGGTGTCTAACTTCTGAAACGCCACACTTTTTGTTTAAGTAATAGTAAAAAAATCAAAATGGTAAAGTATTCCGGGAAATATCCTGAAAAATCTGAATTCTTTATCACGGATTAACTAGAACGCTCCTTGGTGTACCAATTCGCTCCATGCTAGGTGCAAGCGGCCACTGAACTATCACTCCCGTGGTTCTCGGATGTGTGTAGCAGTAAAAACCCCGGATGTAAGGAGAAATTTCCACCTGTCTTTCTCACTAGTTTACATGACCATCCCCTACCGATAGTTTGAAAATAATAGATAACACTACATGCCAGCAGATTGAATGTTCGTGATGTGTTGAGTGGTCTCCCATCGTAAAAAAATGAGAAAATGAGTGTTGGTGATGTGCTGTGTGAATATAATTATTGGCCCTGTCGGAAAAGATCAGGGGAATGAAGGGAAAAGGGAAAAATTAAGTCGGATGTTAAAGTATAAAGACTATTTAAGAAATGTGAGAAAATCCGTGCTCGGAGTAATCCAAATCCAACAGAACCCCTTAGATGTGGTGAGTAGAAAATAGCTCTTTAAGTTGACTAGAAACATCCCATACCCAAAGGAATATGCATCAAAACCGCAAAAAAAACTAGATAAACCCACGGAATCGTATATGTAGTGGTCGTGGTGAATAGCTAGATCTAGTTCTGATGTGAAGTGTCAGTGCTGCGATCCCGAGTGTGCGATTAATGAAATGCTGGACAATGTGCATGTGTCTGTTAAGCAATGAGCTGTTATGCTAATGATCATGAAATGAATGAGTATAAATATATGATAAAAAAAGAAAACTTGGTTAATAATTCTATTATCAATGTTTTTCGTACTCTTCCTCACGTCACTCCGCGAACCAATTTTCCTTAAACAAATTATCTACTCAAAAACAGAGATGCACACCAAGCTATCACTACTCACAGATATTTATGCTCTATATTTGTGCACGGAGATGTGTGCTCTCTCGTGTTATTAAATTTGAAATTTTAAACTAGTGTGCTAAAAACTTAGGATGCATTATTAACAAATAAGAAGAAATGGTTCGAAGACCTCGCCAAAATCGCTAAAACATAACAGCTTTTAATAATAATACGCCACACAGGGCGCTGTTCTTCACTCCTTGCGGCCACGAGAGTCACGCATAAATGATTGTTCCGCGTGTAGTGGTAAAGTGTGACAGACCGTCATCCTAAGTGATATTTAATACTCACTCACACACAAGCAACTATAATTCTAAACTCTAGACGAGTTAAATGTCGTATTTTGATGCAGTGGAACCATTACCGGGAGTCTCACTTGAGTATCGTTCTTTGTTGGCCGTCTATTACTATTGTAGGCCCCATCACGGTAAATAAAAGGTGAGTGTATGCGTTGAATTAATCTATGCGCTCGGGGGCCTGTGAATTGTTGTGTCACGACCTAAAATGCGGTACATATTCTAATCAGCTGAAACGTAGCGGCAGGGAACAATTTCCCCAGCGGCCGCCTCAAAATATAAATAGCCGCCCAGGGTTTCGGTCGTTAATTCTCGTGGCTACAACAAGAGGTACGCAAATGAGAATATCATATGATGCCCCCTGGCAACTGATGTCATATGCTCCGGCAACATTTAATACTTGGGAGTCTTGTATCGAGCATGGTATGCTTCTCTGGTTTAATCTCCAGTACAAACATCATCCAATGACTACTCGAGATGAGTGTAATGAAAAAAAACCAATACTAATCGTAAGACAATCCACACACCAAGTAAGTACTAATGAGAATAAATGGCCATTGACTTAACTATTGCGGAAGTAGGAAGTTCAAGTGAAAGGTTTTGGTGCCTTACGCGACTATCACGATGATTGTGCAAAAGGCCTCAACCCAAGCGGAAATAGTGTATGCCATTAGAGACAACTTTTGTTGCTGCCAAAATTATACGGATTCCATAAGATTCACGTGCGGCCCGCTATAATCTAACAACCCAACAACCTCAATCCATAATAGCTTAAAGCAATGGAGGCAGGACATTTGGCTGAAATGTCCCCAGTGATTAGTGTGTTCAAATATAAGCCACAATAACACACCTAATGATTTATGAGAAAACCAACATCCCTCCGAGAGCTCCGAATACCTAGTACGCCATATCAAAATCCTCAATAGGTGTACATGTGTCAGTGTAAACTATACTGGGAAAGGGGAAATCGGTCAATAACATTACACTCCCACAAATGGCAATATATAAAATCACTGTGCCTTTGTCCAGAAGAACAAATAGTAGTTGTACTGTTACTAACTACCCGCTCAGACAAGTGAGTTGTCGTTGACTTCGGTGAATATCCCAGAAACAATAAAAGTGGTAAATAACTTTTTACTTTATGTTATATTAACATTTAAGAAGTGAAATTTTGCCAATACATATGTAACAAAATAGCCTTAAACCCCAAAAAAAAAAAAAAAAAAAAAAAAAAAAATGGTATATATATACAAGGCAATTGGTAGCTATTCCAATAATAACAGACCCATATAACGTTAAATATGTGTAATTCTACTATGTCGTCGTGGTATGGTGGTTGCTGTATTATTTGTAACATGTATTAGATATAAGTAATAATAAAAACTAATTAACAATAGATAACAGTCTAATTGCATGAATTATTTATACTATATATAATAATATACTATATATATAAATACATATATGATTAAATATGTTATCGATGTTGTAAATGAAACGCTCAGTTACCAATAGGCTTCAGCTCTATGAAAAGCTTTAACCACCAAGGTACTCACTAATCTAAATACGAGCTTCAAATATACCAGAGCATCGCTTATGAAATGGCACTTAACCTTTCTTTCATTAATCCTCTGAAAACAAATAAATAGTTTCCCCTTTCAGTACACTAATAATATTGATCCGCATAACTCTCTCACAAATAACCAAATATACATTACTTTATCTTGAATTTTGAATTCAAATGATTGAGGGTTCACACATTTTTACTATATATAAATTTAATTATATGTAACAAATTTATCTTAATATCATTTATCTAATCTTTTATTGCTCACAGTATAATAATAGAATATTTATTTAATTTATTAAATGTTAAATTCATCTATATTATATAATATGATATTACTTATGCGTAGGTATATGATATAGTATTATTACAAATAATCACTATAATTAAATGACTATAATTATAGACAAATCAAATGTAATAAATGGACCTCTCTATATTATACAATATTAAATAATAAAAAGAATACTAATAATTGACTGTGATATGTAAATAGTTAGTGGCTGTTGACTAATCTTTATTATGATTAGGTTCATTATTATTATGTAATTCCTTTAATAAAATGCCAGATAGTGTTGAATATAGCATAATAGTGAGTAAACACTTTACAAGATTTATTATTTTCCATACTACTGCAATATAGTATCATATTTGTCTTAAATGTGTCAAGTACATCATCAGAAAGGTATTGAAAGCCAAGAAATCCTCTCTTAAAACACATAACTCTGCAGGGGGTTGTCACACTGACACATTTTCCGTCCTGCTTCCATGAATCTGGTGCAGGGAACACAAAAGATTGGAAATTTTGTTATATAGTTGGTTTAATGATCCCTTCAATAAAATGCCAGATGTGTTGAAAAGCAAGTGAGTAATCACTGTACAAGAATGACTATTTTCCTTACTATTGCAATATAGTTAGTATTATATTTATCTTATATGTGTAAAGTACATCATTAGAAAGGTATTGAAAGCCAAGAAACCCACTCTTAAACACATGACTCTGTAGGGGTTATCACACTAACACATTTTCCGTTCTGCTTCCATGATTCTGGTGCAGGGAACACAAAAGATACTTTGGAAATATTATTATATAGTTGGTTTAATGATCCCTTTAATAAAATGTCAGATGTGTTGAAAAGCAAGTGAGTAATCCACTTTACAAGAATTATTCTTTTTACTATTACAATACAGTTTATATTATACTTGTCTTATATGTGTAAAGTACATTAGAAAGGCATTGAAAGCCAAGAAACCCACTCTTAAAACGCATGACTCTACAGGAGCTGTCACACTGACACATTTTCCGTCCCGCTTCCGTGATGCTGGTGTGCAGGGGACGCAGACAACACTGATTCTAGCGCCAGCTTTTTCCTATACAGCCCGTGTACCAAGACGAGTCGACTGCCATTAGCTCATATTACTGTGCTTTCCTGTTATATTAAGAATTTTTAACTTTATATTGGCAAATTTTCTGAGGCCCATAACTGCCTAGTTATGATCAGAATCAGCATCTGTTCCTGGCTAACTACAAGCTTTCTTTACTGTTTCTATATATATTTTTTTTCTTTTCTTTTTTTTTGAAACCAGGAAATGGTTCTACTCGAGATTTTCCAATATCCTGCTTATTTTCAGAACTCACCAAGCCTTTCTCCTCTCTCATTTCTGGCGCCATTTCCGAATGGTCCGACTTCCGTTCCATCCTTCCTTTTTCCAAGCTCCCATTACTATTAGATCATTCCTTTTTCTGCAGTACGGTCTTTGTTACTTGCTTTATTTCTCTGTATTGCAGAATTGCAA